CCCACTGTTCCCCCCGCGTGTTCCCCCCCCCCCCTGCCATGCCCCCCCCCCCCAAGACCCCACTGTTCCCCCCGCGTGTTCCCCCCGCCCGGAGCCCTGCCCCCCCCCCCCAAGACCCCACTGTGCCCCCCGTGTGTTCCCCCTGCTGGGACCCCTGCCCCGCCCCTCCGGTGGAACCCCCACGTCCCCCCACCTTGTGCCAGTGGTGTGGGGTCCCTCCAGTCCCGCTGGCAGGCGCACGGGGGTGGGGGGTGGGGAGCTGGATGCCGGGAACTGCCCCTGCTTCCCCGGAGGCCCGTGGCTCGGTGTCACGAGCTGGCCCCGTGCGTCCGGTCTCAGCCGCCTCTCATTCCAGTGCAGCCCATCAAGATCAGGACCCGCTGGAAGGAGCCGACACCTCCGTGCCACGTGGTAGGTGCTGCCCATGTCCCCAGCCCCCCACGCGCCAGCCCCTCCAGCGGGCACACCGGGGGCAGCTCCACTCCCCAGCCCTGGCAGTGTGGCTGTTCTCTTCTGCCAGGGCGTCCGTCGCGGGGTCCCCACGCCAGCCCCGCTTTCTCCCCACGCCCTGACTCGCCAGCCCCTGGGGCGTGGCTGGGAACATGGCGCCGGGGGCGCGCTGGGGTCTGAGCTGAATGGCTTGGCGTGGGCGGGGGGGTTACACCTGCCAGGGGGCCGGGCTGGCAAGCGGAGCCGGCGTGAATCCCGGCCCTCACCCTGCTTCTCCCCACGCCCAGGAGATCTGCCTAGACCTCAGCTACGGCACCAGCGGCAGCGCCCCCGGCTCCATGGGCAGTGCCAGGTAACAGCCCCGGGCCCCATGGGGGGTGGATGGGCAGCCCTGGGGCCTCGCTGGGGGCCGGGTGTTGGACCAAGGGAACCTTGCTGCAGGGCGGGGGGTAGGCTCAGGGGCCCCCGTAGAGGGGAGGAGGGGGACAGGCCGGCTCAGGGGCCCCACTGGGGGAGGGGGGAAGATGGGCCGTCCCAGAGGTCCCGCTAGAGGGAGGGGGAGACGGGCCAGCCAGGGGCCCCCTGGCGGAGGGGGGAAATGGGCGGGCCCAGGGGTTCCGCTGGGGGAGGGGGAGGAGACGGGCCGGCCCATGGGCCCCGCTTGGGGGTGGGGGAGGAGACAGTCCGGCCCATGGGCCCCACTTGGGGGTGGGGGGAGGAGACGGGCCGGCCCATGGGCCCCGCTTGGGGGTGGGGGGAGGAGACGGTCCGGCCCATGGGCCCCGGTTGGGGGTGGGGGGAGGAGATGGGCCGGTCCATGGGCCCCGCTTGGGGGTGGGGGGAGGAGACGGCCCGGCCTGGCCCAGGATCCCGTTCCAGGCTGCTCCAGCTGGCCCTGGGGCCTGTCCCGGCGCCAGCCCTTGGCCAGACTCAGACTCAGGCTCCGGCTCCTTCGCAGGGTCAACGCGTCGGACTCAGACAACGACTATGACGACGTGGACATGTAGGTGCCTCCCCCACCCCCGGGGCTCATCCAGCTGCAGGGACCCGCCCCCCCAGGGGGCTCAGCTTGGTCACGGCACGGGGAGGACAGAACTGTGACGGGTTGGGTCACAGAGACCCCCTTGGGACTGTCACCTGACGTGCTGGAATTACCTCTGAGCCCGTTTCCCCTGCCGGCTTGGGACTCCAGAACCCTGCCTGGTTGAGCCAAACACGCCAGCCTGCTGCAACACAGACCCAGGGTCTGACCCATGCCCCCAAAGCTGCAGAATTAACTGAAAACCACTCAGCAGGTTAGCTATCTCCAGCCCCCAGACACCCAGCTCCCAATGGGATCCAAGCCCCAAGTAGATCCGTTTTACTCTGTATGAAGCTTACACAGGGTAAATTCATAAATTGTCCGCCCTCTTTCACACTGAGAGAGATATACACAGGTGTTTGCTCCCCCAGGTGTTAATCACTTACTCTGGGTTAATTAATAAACGAAAGTGATTTCACTACGTATAAAAAGTAGGGTTGAAGTGGTTCCAAGTAATAACAGACAGAACAAAGTAAGTCACCGAGCGAAATAAAACAAAACACGCAAGTCTGAGCCTAATCCATTAAGAAACCGAATACAGGTAAATCTCACCCCCAGAGATGGTCCAATAAGCTTCTTTCACAGACTACACTCCCCCTAGCCTGGGCCCAATCCTGTCCCCTGGTACCGTCCTTGTTAGCTCCAGCTCAGGTGGTAATAGGGGTTTTCTCATGACTGGCTCCCCTTTGTTCTGCTCCACCCCCTTTTATAGTTTTGTCTGTCTGGGTCCCCACCCCTCCTTCTAAATGGAAAAGCACCAGGTTTAAGATAGATTCGTGTGTAGCTTTGGTTACCATGGGTCTGGGCGTCTGACCTCCAATGCCGGCGGCTCAGCCCTGTCCCCCCATTGTCCCTGACTCCCCGCGGCCCTGCCCTGCCCCCCGTCTCCCCTGCAGCTGGCGGCTTTGCCCCCCCCCCCACACACAGGATCCCACGTGGGGTCAGGTCAGTGGTTCATGATCTCTCTCTTTCCCCCTCGGTCCCGCCGTGCAGCCCCAGCAGCTGTGACCCGGCCAGGTACGTGCCCCCACACCCGGCATCAGGCTCTGGGGGTGGGGCTGGGGGCTCCGTTGCCTGTCCCGGCTCACAGGGTGGCGGGTGGCCTGGGCCGAGTGCCCCCAGGCTGGTACTGCCCGATGCCCCGCAAGCCGCTGCCAGAGACGTGAGCTGGGCCAGGCCATGGGGGCTGGGGGGCATGTGAGTAGTGGGGGACCCGGGGGTCATGCCAAGTTCCGGGGGGCTGGGGGGCTCCTAGGAGGGTGCGGAGGACCCCGGCAGCCGGGGCCTGGCCCCCCAGCACAGTGGGCTCCTGGCCAGGGCGTGGGGCCCAGAGTCCCCAGGGGGCTGGGGATCTGAGGGCTCCCTGTGCCAGGCGTGGGGGGCAGCCTCGGGTCGATCATCTGGGCTGCAGCATGGGGGGGTTCCCAGGGAGACCTGTGCTGACCGCTGTGCTCTGCCCCCAGGCCCATGCTGCCAGCCGACGCTGACGTGCCGCCCCCACTGCCCCCCAAGGTGAGTGCCCACTGGGGGGGCGCTGAGGGGGGAGACTGCGTAGGATATGCCAGGGCTGAAGCAATGGGAAACTTGTCCAGTCCCCACCCCCGTTAGACCCACCCCCCAGCCAGCCTGTAGTTCCTGTGTCAAACCCACCCCCCAGCCAGTCTGGTGCTCCCCCCCCCCCGTCAGACCCATGGGCCCAGCCAGCACCTAACCCCCCCGCAGCCAGTTCATAGCCCCCCCATCAGATCCACCCCCCAGCCAGCCCGTAACTTCTTTATTAGCTTCCTGGTTACTCGGCAGTGCAAACAACGCAGTTCCCTCAAAGTGACCCAGCCTCAGACCTCCATCCAGGTACCCACGTCAGACGTGATGATTTATGGGAAAATCTTATTCATCATATAAAAGAGAAGGTTCTGCCAGTCCCAAGGGATCGGACACATCCCCTCCCAGGTTACCCAAATCCACACTACAGCCAGTTCTTCTTAACTAAACTAAACTTCATTCAAAAACAACCCACAGAGAGTATTGGTTACAAAATCAGTATCCCTACGGACGAGTTCAATCCATTGAGGTGCAGAGATGCTGAACTTTGTAGCGGCAAAGAGTTCGTTCAGAAAGCGTTCCTCGGTCCTAGTCCAACGGCCAGATCTCACACTCGGGGCGTACCCGCATCACTGGGACCTCGGTCATGCGGCTCGAACGTCCCCTGACGAAGCTTCAGCAGATCTGAGCCGACAGAATCAGACCCTGTGACGAAGTGGGACGGTTCTTAATGTTTCCCTCAGTTTCCCCTATGCAGTTCTTAAGTATCTAGGGGGTGGGATAAGGGTGTACGGTTGCTGCAGAGCAAAGGGCCAGGGTATCTAAATGCCAGACACTATCTCCTAGCAACTGATGGCCTGGGCCCCTCCTCTGCAAAGGTGCCAACTGAAGGTGTTGGAGACAAAGGGATCAGGTGACCTCCTGGCCGGGGAAAGAGACAAAGCCCAGAGAAGGAGGGGCTGGACGGGGGTTGGAGTTTGGAGCTGGCTAGGGACTGGAAGGAAGGGCAGATGGGGGTCTGCCCTAGGATGGACCCGGCCGAGGGGTCCCGTTCGCCGCTTTACCTACAAGCTCTGTTTTAGACCGTGTTCCTGTCATCTAATAAACCTCTGTGTTACTGGCTGGCCGAGAGTCATGTCTGACTGCGAAGTGGGGGTGCAGGACCCTCTGGCTTCCCCAGGACCCCGCCGGGGCGGACTCGCTGTGGGAAGCGCACGGAGGGGCATATGTTGAATGCTCCATGGTCAGACCCAGGAGGTGAAGCC